TTATATAAATTCATATAATTTTTAATAATTGCCATGCTTAACAGCCAATTCAAAAGAATACCTGAAAATTTAGTATTCAGCTCTCACACAGGGGCAGGACTGGCCCCAGCATACTGCAGGTAACACACACTACCTAAGAGCCACAGCTGGGACTAAGTTGATGATTGAGGCACAACATTGAAGGGTTTGTCAAAAGACTCTATCATCAAGATAAACAAACCGTTAATAGAGTGCAATATTTAAAAAAAATCAAAGTTACAGAGAAAAAATCCATAAGGAGCAAAATAACAAAAATTTAAATAAATAGAGGGTAGGTGGGAATCATGAGTGTGAGCCAAGAGTTGAGGGTGTATGTGCGTGGGAGGGGGGCTTCTGCTCTCCACCAGGTGAAGACACCTGTCTAGGAGAATTCTACCTGCAAAAGAACTTGTGGATGGAGGACCTGGGGCCTCCTGGATCCTGACCTTACCAAGATAAGATAGTTCAGCAACTCCTTTGAGTCTATTCACCACCCCTCTATACTTCCAATGAATCTCCCTGCCGTGGGAATTGACCATGGTGTGTTTCTGTTGCTCACAACCAAAATTATATATACTCTGTGGTTTAGGAAATTCTGAGTAAGGATCAGAGAAGGCTCCTTTCTATTTGCCAGACCACAAATTAATTAGTAGGTATTTTTTTTGTATGTAATCTCAAAGATTTAGAATCTCAAGACAGAAGGATCAGTAAAGAGTATTTATCAAGTCATTTGATTTCCTGCCCTCAGTAGTATTTATTTATTTATTTTATAGAGGCATGTTTTTTACTTATTTATTTGTTTGTTTGTTTTGTTTATACATGCACTGGTACAGTCAGAAGCGCGGGAGGGTGAGAGAATTCACCAGAGCCAGAGCGGGGAGCAGAGCAGGCAGAAGGACCGAAGTACACTGCTGAGGGGAGCAGCGGGCGGCAGGAGAGGTCTGCGCGCCATGTGGGGCCCTCCTCCGGTGGCCTGGGAGCAGCCGGGGATCGAACGGGCGCCGCAGAGGCCACGGGCAGCTTTACAACCCAGCGCTCAACCGCTGCGCCACCGGGGAGGCCCCTCAGTAGTATTTATTAATAGTCAAATTAGCTACACTGCTTTTTTAGTCCTCTTCTAGACAGCTCTGTTTTGTTTCTTTTGCATCGCAAGTTCAAACAATAGAGAACTTACCCTGCCCTCTAAAGGGCTGGACAAAGGAAAGGTTTTCACTGAATAAGATTTGATCATAGCTTCCCAAAAATGGGGTGACTTAACTTCCCTTTCAAAATCCAAATGATTAGATAAAATTTGTTTCCAATATAAGTGATTTCCAATCACAACTTAAGACACTGAAAAGTGTTATTACATATATTAAATGTTATCAAGGGGCCTCCCTGGTGGTGCAGGGGGTTAATCACCGCACTATGAAGCAATTCACAGCCTCTGCAGGATGAGTTTGATCCCTGGCCAGCCAGGGAGCAACCCACATGGCACAGCAGACCTCTCCTGCCTCGCCCGCTACTTCCCTCAGCAGTATATTTCAGTCAGTCTGCTCTGTCTCTGGTGAATCCTCTCACTCCCCGTGTGTCTCTGACCTGTACCCCAGCTCTTGCATGCATAAATTAATAAATCTTTAATAAATAAATAAATAAATATTTCAAGCAACAAACTACCAAATGGAGAAAAAGATTTACACTTTGCGAAAACACATTGTTATTTTGATCCCTTGATTTCCTGCAGATTGAATGGATCATCTCTTTAGAAAGAAAAGGTCAAGGCTGTGTGAAATATGCTCATGGAACACTAGCAACATTTACCAAACCTATCTGTTCATGGATAGAAGGAGAACATTCATGTCACAAATGACCAAGGGCTTTGGCTTATGAATACATATTTGTGCCAGTGAGCTCCTGGAATATCACGGTGCTTCATGTTTTGAGGAGATACATTATACCCCCAGATTTACAGTCATCCTGGGAATACACCTTTCCCCAAACACTTCGAGATTCTGGCAGAAATCTAGAGCACAACAGTAGTGGAAATTATGTTACCTGGGATCCTCTGCCTGGAAAAATTGGCTGTTATTTGTCCCAACTGATGCTAACCTAAGAGATGCTATTGTGGACATCATTGGGGGACCCTAGGCTTTCCAGGAGGGATGTTTGTGGAGATAGGGACAGGTGATAGGGAGGTACACCAAGGGAGGGGCAGCCTCTGCCTAGTGTAGTGTCCATCATTCCTTCCGAACCAGTAACTGCCAATCAGGTCTGCAGGGCATCAGGTGGCCCTACGTTAAAACTAACACCCACCCTTATGGGTCCACATGTGCTAGGCAGTACAAAGATTGAAATCCTTGGATTTTGCCTCTGATCTATGTTTCTCATGTGAAGAAGCAGCCATCCTTCAGCTCTGCACCAACCAGCTGCAGACATTTATTACTGTCTTTTCCTTCCATGAGTTTCTCAGCCACCAAATTTCCACCCTTGGCTTCAAGTTAACATCTGGTTTTGGAGGATGTTGGTTAAGACCCTTTAAATACAAAGTTACTCATCTAGTACCCACTATCTATAGTAAATCAGCTAGCTACTCAGGGTACCATGTGGCCACAGCCCCCTACCAGTGATGGGACTATTAGGATTATTCACTATTACCACAGTCACATACAGCTCAAATCCACATAGGACATGTGTTTCTCAAGTTGGACCTTTTCATTCCACCCCAAACTGGTGCTGTCCTTTTACTCCAGTGCCATGCTGAGAGAACTACAGGCCTGCTGGGGCCTCCTGAACACCAGGGTGAGATGTGATCAGGCTCTCCTCCACTTTGTATCTGTGCCATTCCCTGGAGCCCTTCAAGTGATGGGTTATAGACTCAGAGCCTTCTGATTCTTCCTTCATGCCCCTCTGTGAATTAAACACATCTTTAACTGGCTCCCGGTCTCCAACCCACTGAGAGGCTGCCCCAGTCTCACGTCCTTGTGGTCAGAACAGACAATCTGCCATGGAGAATCAAACTGTAACACGAGTAACACGAGCAACGCTGGACACTCAGAGATGCCATGGCCAGATAAAGTCCCTAACCTATTGGCAAAGGTTCAGTCCAGGCAAACAGACATGGGAAACCACTTATCACTTTTGGAACATGCTTAAAGAGGTTAAAGTTTTCCATCAAGTGAAATCTATTCTACTTCTGGGGAAAGCAATGGGTGGAGGAGAGAAGTATTAGATCAGTGTCTGTAACTGTTCTCTCTCCATCTGTGATCTAGGCCAAGGATGTTCTATAAAAGGCTTCTTCCCTCAGGTACCAGGGCACAGGGAATTTCTCCATGCACTAAGTTGGATCTTACCAGAGTTCTCATGTAGACCCTTCACTTTGGGTTGCACTATTGCTCTTTTTTTTTTTTTAAGATTTATTTATTTATGCATGCAAGAACTGGACGTACAGGTCAGAGGTGTGGGGTGAGAGGATTCACCAGAGACAGAGTGTAGAACAGAAAGGCAAGTTGACTGAAACACACTGCTAAGGGGAGCAGCTGGCAAGTCAGGAGAGGTCTGCTGCGCCATGTGAGTAGCTCCCTGGCCGGGGATCGAACTCCTGCTGCAGTGGCTGAGGATAGCTTCATAGGTTGCGTCTTAACCTCTTGTGCCACCAGGGAGGCCCTTGGACCATTGCTCTTTAACTGGTGCCAAGGATTAGTTGTTAGCTCATTCCTTGCCTAGAATGTGCCTGGAGGTCATCCAACTTTCACTTTTAAGACCTCAGCATGAATCAGGGCCTCTCATTCATCTGGAAGGAAAGGTGGTCAGCAGGCATGTTGAAGTGCCCATGAAAAAATACCCTGTTCTGTGCTTAAGAGAAAGGTCTAGGCTAGAGATAAAGATTTAAGGGCATTACTGCATGAGAAGTGCAGTTAGAAGCCACAGATGTGGATGAATTGCCCATGCTGAGTGAGCTCGTGAGAAAAGAATAAAGGATGACGTCCTGAGAGGACAAACAACAGGGTCAGGCAGTGGTCCCTACAAAGAAGGGCTGTAGCAAAACTGGGAGAGTAGGGCTCCACGGAAACTGGGAAGAGACTTTGAAGGAGGGAGGAGTCAATAGCGCCAAATGCTGCTGAGAAGTCTAGTAAAATGAGGTGTGAATTAGATTTTACAACTGGAAAGTCACTGTGGACCCCAGGACTAGCTCATTCAGGGGCCTGTTGGGATAAGCAGAGTGAATAACATGTTTTCTATTATCTGCTGCAGGTAGAGCTCTGGATACCAAGAAGCATCTGTGCCTGTGTTGACCAGCTACCCTCACCACCTTGCTATCATTTTTGTGTCTCTCAGCTGAAAGGCCCACATGAATTGCTAGTCTGAATCAACACAATCGTCTGAGATCTATTTTAGTGTCATAAAAATTCCTGCAAAACTTTTTTTGTGGGGTTCATATTCAGCACTAGCTCACAGTTTACCCTCAGGTTCTGAGTTTGCAAGTTAATACACTTTAATTGGTTCGACCTCATATAAATTTGGCTTTTATGGCAAGGCCATTTTCACACTACCAGTCTCACTGGCAACAACCGGCTGGAGTAGCAGCCACAGTCGCAGTTACTTCCTATCCTGTTCTTTGATTTTTCTGCTTGGCTAGCTTCACTTACTTCTTCACTCATTTTTGGCTACCTCTCCCTCCTCAAGGGTTTACTTACTGAACGTAACATTTATTCCATACATTCACACCAATCTTCACGTTTACTTACAAAGCACCCTGACGCGTCCAAACCTCTGACAGGAATTGCTAGGCTGGAAGGGCCGTGGCGAGGCGCGCGCGCCCCCTGCCGGCGCCCCGTCGTGCTGCAGCCTCTTGTGCACGCTGCCGCTCCTCCTATCGAGCGCGGCAGAGGGCAGACAAGTGCGTTCTCGCGCAAGGCCTCCTGGGAAATGTTCGGGGCCTAAGTGTCAGAACTACAAATCCCGGCAGGTACTGCGCTGCAGCCCCAAAGATACGGACGCTAGCGGGTACATCTGAACCTTATTTGTCAACGCCATTGGGAATGCTGCACAAGCCGATTCAGTACTCACAAGAGGCTTTTGGGGAGCGGGATCGCCATTTCACCAGTTGTGCACGAACAAACTTTGCTGCTGCAACTCCTTCGGACTTTCTCGACCTGGCGAATCTGCCGCTGCGGTGCGGTGGCTAGGCGCCCAGTGCCCCAACTTGACGCGTGTAGAATCTGCTGTGGGAAGAAAGACGCGAAGGTTTCTCGGGCAACTACTATCATGGCGGCCCCGGCCCCCAGTGGCGGGGGCTCCGCGCCCGAGGCGGCGGGCTCGGCGGAAGCCCCGCTGCAGTACAGTCTTCTTCTGCAACACTTGGTGGGTGACAAGCGCCAGCCCCGGCTCCTGGAGCCAGGTAGCCTGGGCGGGATCCCGAGTCCAGCCAAGAGTGAGGAGCAGAAGATGATCGAGAGAGCGATGGAAAGCTGCGCCTTCAAGGCGGCGCTGGCTTGCGTGGGAGGTAAGGCAAGGCGAGGGGGGCCCTTGGGAGGCTGAGGACGGGGACAGGAGTGGGATCGTCTGCTAAAAAGACCACGCGCCTGGGAGACGAAGGGGCTGTCAGCCTTGACCTTGACTACACCTCCACTACATCTCCACTGCTTCAGTGAGTTCGAGCAACACCTGTCTGGTTCTTGAGGCTAGTAGCTTTCACCTCTGGAAGCTGGATCAGAAAATCAGTCCTGTGATTCGGGACCTAGAGGTTATTGTGATGGTTGACTTCTTTCATTCGGTTATTCACTTTTAAATAATTCTTTCAACACATCGTTACTGAGCAACGTCTTCCAGGACGTGAGGAAGACAGGGTGAAAGAAATAAGACCCCTTTTTTCTCAAAAAGCTAACAAAGATACATAAGTGTATATACACACACACGGGGAATGAGAGAGAATGTTGAGAAGGAGCCTGGCAGAAGAGTGGGGCAGACAGGGAGAACAAGTGTAAAAGGGCTCTAGTCAGGAACTGACTTGAGGTTTGAAGAACAGAAAGACCATTGTGGTCAGTGTAATTATTTTTTTTTAATTTTTTTAATTTAAATTTTATTTTTATATTGCCCATACAATTACAGCCCCCTTATTTTGATCCCAATCCCTCCTTTCCCCGCCCCCCACCCCCCATAGAATGTCTCTGGTTCATAGTTGTTTGTTGATTTTCGTATTTTCTTTCTTATAGTTATTCTTTTTCCTGGTCTCCTATTTAAGTTTTCTAGATTCCTGCTATGAGTGAGATCATCCGGTATCTTTCTTTTTCTTTCTGGCTTATTTCGCTGAGCATGATCCCTTCTAGCGCCATCCATGTTGCTGCAAATTGCATGTGTTTATCTTTTTTGAATGCTGAGTAATATTCCATGGTGTATATGTACCACATCTTCTTGATCCAGTCATCTATTTTTGGGCATTTGGGTTGTTTCCAAAGCTTAGCTATTGTAAACAGTGCTGCTATAAACATAGGGGTGCAGGTGTTCTTTGGAATTGATATTTCTGTGTCCTTTGGGTAAATACCTAGGAGTGGAATTGCTGGATCATATGGCAGCTCTATGTTTAGTAGGTCAAGAAATCTTGTGGTCAGTGTAATTAGACTGCTGTGAGCAAGGGGTAAGGAAGGAGTCTGGATTTTGATTTTTTCCTTTTTCTTTAACCTTCTGAAGATATGAGAAAGTGCATTGCCCTTCCTATGTGCAAGGTAAAGAGACTGATCACATTTGCATGCTCTGAGTTTCAATCTCATTGAGAATGAAGGACATTTATAGAAATGCAGGCAGTGTGCAAATGTGAAGTAAATTAGAAAGAAGAGTTGTTTTGCTTGGGGAAGGCCACAAGGAGAGGTGATACTGAGCTGTGTCTTGAAGAATTGAGAGAATGGAGGGAGAAGAGGGCATGGGGAGGTAGGGCTTTTTTGTCTTTAGGCATTAGTGCAGAAACTGATGTTTTTTCAGGAGTAACCAGTAAGTAACACACGTGCTGAATCAGGATGGAGTGTGATGAAGGAAAGAAAAGGCTGTGCATAGGGAGTCCTTAGAAATTGGGTCTTTGTTCATCATTGTGCCTCTCATAATCGTTTACGTATTTGCTGAAATGATGAATGAGACTTTGTAGTATTCCAGGGTGGAAGTGATAAAGGCCATTGGCTAGAATAATACTTGTGGACATAGTCAGAGCTGTTGGGAAAAGCAAAGAAGCACTCAGAATGCCCCTGGTTTTTGAGTTGGGGTGACTGAAAGGAGTCATAAGCAAGAAAGTCTGATTAGTGGTGCCCATGATTTCATTCAATATATGCTGGCCTTGAGGTGATGAGAGGATACTATGGAGATGTATAGTAGGTTCAAGAAGGTCAGGTGTGGACACAGTGGGATTTGCCATTTGGTAGCTTTGTGATTTGGGGGAAGTTATTTAACCTGAATGTGGCTCAGTTTCTTCTGCTATAGAAAGGACAAGATAACAATATGTACTCCACAGGATTATTGTGAAGAATAAATGAGGCTGGAACTATGAAGCAGCAGAGTAATTGGTACATGGTACTAAATGACTAATGAATGTCACCATGATCAAGGGAGTGAAACTGAGCGTGAGTGGTTTCATTAGAGAGAGTATAGAGAGAATATACAGTTAAAGACAGAATCTTAAGGAATGTAGGAAGTGAAAGGGAGAAATCCAAGATGAGACAGAGAAAAAGCTGTCAACAAGATGCATCCTTGATTGCCTCAGCCAGGCAAGTAGGAAGTTTGAATGGCTGGTGGGAGGGGGGTGGTTTCCTCTACCATGGTGGCCACCCAGAAGGTGCTATATAAGTATGTCCCCGTGCAAGTAATCCAGAAAGCATGCAAAGAAATCTTCATCTTTGTGTTTGTTTTTAGGATTTGTCTTGGGAGGTGCATTTGGAGTGTTCACTGCTGGCATTGATACCAATGTGGGCTTTGACCCTAAGGATCCTTACCGTACACCAACAGCAAAAGAAGTTCTTAAAGATATGGGGCAAAGAGGAATGTCCTATGCCAAAAATTTTGCCATTGTGGGTGCCATGTTTTCTTGCACCGAGTGTTTAGTAGAATCTGTAAGTGTCTCTGCCTTACCTGCCGCCATCTTATGGCTTCTAAAGAGAAATGCTCTTAATGTTATTAGCAACATCCAGTACTTGCTAGATTGAATTTCCATTAAGTTGTTCTCAATGACAACTCTAGTGTTTATGATTTGGCTTACATTTTTTTTAACTTTTTTTTTTTTTAAAGATTTATTTATTTATTTATACAAGCACTGGGTATAGTCAGAAACGTGGGAGGGTGAGAGAATTCACCAGAGCCAGAGGGGAGAGCAGAGCAGGCAGACTGACGAAGTACACTGCTGAGGGGAGCAGCGGGCAGCAGGAGAGGTCTGCGCGCCATGTGGGACCCTTGCCTGGTAGCCGGGGATTGAACCGGTGCTGCAGAGGCTGTGGGCAGCCTCGCAACCCAGCGCTCAATTGCTGCGCCACCGGGAGAACCTCTTTTTTTTTTTTTTTAACCTGTTTTTGTAGGCTAGAAATTGGTTAATGATTTTAAACACCAGAGAAGAGATTTTAATTACTTCCCAAATGCTGCACTTGGTTACAGTGCTCTGGTACCCCCTGCAAGAAGCATTTGTGAACACATTCCAATTTTAGGAATTATGCTTTTGAAAAAGATTAGGTTTCCTTTGGGATGGTACTAAATTAGCCAGCGAGAAACCCTGTTTTTACCTTAGTCATTGTCTGGCTTGGTTCTTTGGCTCTGAACTGCACTTCTCTACCCACAGTACCGGGGAAAATCCGACTGGAAGAATAGTGTCATTAGTGGCTGCATCACTGGAGGAGCCATTGGTTTCAGAGGTTAGTAAACAACTCTGGAATGGTATTTTCTGTGGTCTTGGACAACATGCTGAAGTTGGCATTTTCAAACATATGAGGGTGCCAGTGATAGCTTAAGGCATATATGGACACTTGATACTCCTTTCTGACAAGTAATTCATATTTGCTTCTGTGTTAACTCAGTTTTGGAAACTTCTAGTATCTAGATCAGGATTTCTCATCTTTGGCACTGTTGATGTTTTGGACTAGATAATCTTTGCTGGAGGGGAAAAGGGGACTGTCCTGTGCATTGGAGGATGTTTAGCAGCATCCCAGGCCTCCCAACCACTAGACACTAGTAGCAGCCCTTAGTTGTGACAACTAAAACTTGCACATTGCTAAATGTCCCTTGGGGAGACAAAAATCATCTCCAGGTAAGAACCTCAGATAGATTTAGATCTGTCTTAGAAAAAAGAACACCCCCCCCCCATATTGAAAATATGGGGAGAACTTCCTGATGCTAATTCCTGGGACATGGTAATGTACAGGATAGTACCAAAGCATTCAGCCCTGGAAAGCCTACTTGTCCTCATAGCGGGCTCTGTTGAATTGTCAGCTCCATGCATTTCAGGAAGTTGCACATTTTTCTTAATTCTATGCTGTTACCAGTTTTAAGTTTGTGTAATGTCATGGTATGGTAGGGTTTTTTTTTTTTTTTTTTTTTTCCGTTTTTTTTTGTTGAGGATTCTTAAGACAGTGACCCATTAAAAGACCATTATAGGTCTTCTAGAAAGGTTGATTATCCTCTGTAAAAAACAAAGAAACCAATTCCCTGCCACTTCTTCCTGTTGACATGCCCATCAAGAGTCAAGAGTCAGTGACTTCTAATAGTGTTCATTGTGGGGCCACCCTCCATCTGCCATGTGCTAACTTACCCAAACATAAAAGCTTGCTTTCTCATTTTCTGAGAGGCAGGATGATTTGCAGTCATTTAAACCTGCTATTACTCCTCAAACAGCCATTTGTGATTTATAGAGTAACTCTTCCTTTGGTCTTCCCATCACTCAGCTTTGTCAGGGCCTCTTTGAGAAGCACAGCTTCCTCTAAGACTGCTTTGATCACCTTCCCAGGAATTTGTTCCATAAACAAATCAGGGTAACAGGCCATATGCTTTCACTTGATTCCAAGAGCTGGTTCTCTGAACCAGTTTTCCTGCCTGTGAGGGGCTGTTTTCCTGAGACTGGAAATAGTAATTCTTTGGGATAAGAAAAGTGAAATGAATGTACAGTTACATGAGCACACTGAGTACACTCGATTAGATCATGCGCTGAGCTTCACTGAAGTCATACAAATCTGTGATTGGCTGAATGACTTGGAATGTTTGTGCTGGTTTTTTTGTATCTATGGGTATGCAAACTTTATCAGAATGCTGCCTGACCCAGCATTTGTCACCACAGGTAATGTGGTGTTTCTATTTTCTTTACAGCTGGCTTAAAGGCTGGGGCCATTGGTTGTGGAGGATTTGCTGCTTTCTCTGCTGCAATTGATTATTACCTGCGATGAGAGTAATTGCTTCTGGGAAGGACTCTGCCAGTCCTGGATCAGCGTTTGGAGGAGGGTAGTTTGTGCACGCTCTAGGGCACTTGCTTCAGAGACTGAAGACATTTATATTCCCTCGAGAAGTTGATGCCATGAGGGAGCTGCCTGGCGGTTGCCGGCCTCTAACATCTGAGCAGCTGCTCCCCACTGGACTTGAGCCAGGCTGTGCGGGGCATGTGCCATGCTGGCTTCTCTCGATTGAGCATTTTGATTTGTAGGAGTTAAACTCCACAAAGCTTTGTTCCTGTTCACAACTGGCCAGTTGATTGGTTGGTGCTGTGGGAACAGAAATGACTTTACTAAACTGTTCTACCTTAGAACTCATGCAGTCACATATCAGGGCAGGGCAAAGTAAATTTATGCCATCCAGCCAACTATGTCATTTTGTTTAGTATTCTGCTATTCTTTATTTATGTGTATATATATATATATATATATATATATATATATATATATATATTTGTAGTCCTAAAAGGTTGCTTTATTTTTATCTTTAGATTCTTTAATTCCCCAAAAAGATGGCCCAAAGATTGAACATCCCAAGGAAAAGAATGAGAAAGCTGTTGAGAAGTTGGGGAATGTTAGATTCTCAGGGTTTGCACAGAACTGTGTTATCCTTACTATGATTGTTACATTGGCCAGAGCCTCAAAGAAGCCCAGCCTTGTCAGGTCCTAGGATGCACATGTAAGGGCTCTTCTAACACCTGTCCTGTGAGCTTGCTGATAGGCATGCCTGGATTCTGAACCACACATTGGTTTCATGTTATGGTCATCCTGAGGATGAAATCACAGCAGCTACTAAGATCAGACATTGTTGAGCGTTCACTACAGGGAATCACCACCCTTGTTCTCTGAGATCAGTTATTTTTTTTTTTAAAGTATTAGTTTTTTTTTTTTAATAGTTGCATTTTTTAAAAAAGATTTATTTATTTATACAATCACCGGGTACAGTCAGAAGCGCAGGAGGGTGAGAGAATTCACCAGAGCCAGAGCAGAGAGCAGAGCAGGCAGACTGACGAAGTACACTGCTGAGGGGAGCAGCGGGCGGCAGGAGAGGTCTGCGCGCCATGTGGGACCCTCACCCAGTGGCCAGGGATCGAACCGGCACTGCAGAGGCTGTGGGCAGCTTCGCAACCCAGCGCTCAACCGCTGTGCCACCGGGGAGGCCCGTATTAGTGTTTTTTATTTCATCTGGTGGCCTTTTTCTGACATCAGTTGTTCAGCCTAATTGTCTGCCATAGGCAAAGAAACAAAACAAACCCAAAAACCCAGCCTTTTACAGTAGGGATCTGCTATGGGCATCCCACGCTAGTCTTTGGCAGTGAGATGACATTGGTGAACTCAGGCTGACATTCTTGTAGGTCAGGCAGGTAGGCGTGATGGGGCACTGTAGGTCTGGCCACCTTCAGCCAGTGGTATTATGTCTTTTTTCTGCTGTACACTAACTTAAACCCAGCTGGTAACACCTTCCCCTGGCTGTGCCAGCTCTTTCCTTTGGAATGAATGTGAGCTAGCACGCAGGTCTCATGTCTTTCTATGGGTGAATGCCATATAATGCTGGCCCAGGTTCACAGGAAAGAGGCTCCATTGCTGCTGGGCTAGGGTGTCTTCAGGGGTCTGAGAACAAACTTAGAAGTTTTCCTATACCGTCCCTAAATAAATCACCTATAAGCACTTTGAGAACAAGAGCAGACATTCCCACCTGACACCTGTTAAAGTGCAGGAGCCAGGATACCCGGCATCTCCTACCAGCCAGCCAGTCTAGTACCTGGGGCTGAATACGCTGAATGATGGAGGACAAGAAATGTTGCCTCATGACCGCCTTGCAAAAGATGAGCCCTGGGGCTGTCAGTAGCCATCAGTTCAATAAGCCAAGCATTGTCCACATTGACTATTCAATCGAAAGGAGATGAATAGTTTCCTGTTTTGGATGGCAAAGGAGTCGGTATGAGCTCATAAACCAAACACCAATTTTCAGAGACATCTGTTCCTGATCTCTAGAATAAACACGGTGTCCAACAGCTTAGGCTTAGACTGGGGGAATCTACATTAACCCCACTGGCTCTCCTAAAGGGAGATGAGGCCCTCTAGGGGGATCTAACTTCTCCAACAAGCAGATTAGGCCAAAAGGCTGCACCAAAGATGTGCTACTTCCAAGGAAAATGGATAGAAACATTTACATAAAATAAACCTCCACTTGAATAGAAAACTTCTGACATCTCACCAAGGCAAATTAATGGACAGGTCCCTGGTGTGGCGTTTGTACTTCATGAAAGCAAATGTAGCAGCGAAGGTGCAAGGCCAGATGCAACCTGGCTGGTGACTGACCTGTGGGCCTGTGAAGAGTGAGGAGTGGGCTTGGGGCTCCCCTCCCCCAAAACTCAAGGGGGGTTCACTAGGTAAATAGATCCCTGAGACATCTGGATGCAGCTGGGACAGTTAAATATTTAGAATGGTTGTCTTCCTTGGACTACTGAGAACACAAACATCCACACCACAGGGCTGAGTTGTGTGCAAATGTTGGGGCTTTGCATTTTTTTATTAACATTTCCTTTCACGTGGTTTACATCAATTTATAATAATCTACATAAATTGAAACAAAACATAGAGAAAAAATATATCCTTGCCAACTTATTAGTCAAATATTAATGAAGGATCCCATCCTGCCTATATCAGCAAAAACTGGCAACCCACTGCCACTGCCCTGCAAGGTCAGGCATACTGGGATTCTTGTAGCCTGCCTGCTGGCTCCTGTTGGCACCACCTGCCCTGCTAGGCAGAGTGGCTAGGGGCTCTGGGCTGCACGGTCCCTCTCAGGAGAACCTGTGGGCAGTTTCCTAGGTGCAGCTTAGTCCAGGTCTGGTACCTGGCCCTCCCCACTCTGAGAGTGGAATTTATAAATATTATGAGCCTTTTGCATTTCTCAGCCCTTCCAGCGTTCCTCCTGTTCTCATATTGCCTGAGGGGCAGCAGTTGCTCCCTGATGACAAGAAGCAAACATCTTTTGTTTTGGGGGGAGGTTGGAGGCACCCATTTGGGGCTGTAACTAGCTCCAGCTGGGCCTCCCATTCATTCCCATCAAAGGCTTTGGAAGCAAGAACCTTCCATGTCACATACCAACTCTTGAGCAAAGACTCCAGGGATGTTTAGACGCCAGGATCTGTAGACTTTAGGCTCAGGCATTCTTTGTCCACCTCCTGACCCAGGGAATAGGTTTCTTGCTAAGCTGCTAGCAGGCAGCAGTTAGTATTTCCTTCCTCTTAGGCATTTCTTCCCTCCAATGTGCACAGAATGTGTACCGTTCCGCCCAAGAATGGGCAACAGGTGTAAACAAAATTAGGGCCCTGCCTCTCACTGAGCAAGAGCTACAGCTTTAGGGTCAGCAAGCCCTTCTTTAAACCTTGCCCTGAGCACAGGCCATGGGAACTGTTCTCACCAGTCCTGAGGGCCTAGAACTTACTCTGCCAGGGAACTGTGTACTACAGCTCAGCTTGGCAATGTGACTCCTCATCCTTCCCCATCTTTGGAGCTTCCCAGAGTTCACCCAAAAGGCTGCATCTAGAAGTCAGGTGGGGAGGCAGCACCACGACGGCTGGTACTGCAGGACCATGCCACCTTTCCCAGGCCCAGGAGCACACGTGGCAGTGGGGGCTGCCCCGTGGCAGTGCTTGGCTGTGGAGAATGTGTGTAAAATCTAAGGCAAGGGTACATGGGGTGCCAGGAAGAGCTGGCCGGGAAGGAGCCTGCCTGTTCCTGGACACCTGGCTTCAACCATAGGAGTTGCCCTCCTGGAAGCCTGGCACCACCACAAATACCACTGCAACTCCTTGCTGCTGAGAGTTGCCTCCCCCAACTCAGGACACCCAGTGCTACATGGCACTCCTTTGAATGTTTGCCTTGTCTTGTTTCCTCGGTGCGCCGACTCCCCCGATTCTTTCCTGACCCTCTGGCTAGCTTGATAAGTCACTTGTGAGTCTTTACACTCAAAGGAAATAGAACACCAGGGGAAAAGGAACTGAAAAGCAATAGAAGAAACAGTCAAAGACGCCTCACTGGCAGGCAGGAGACAGAACAGATAAACCCCAGAAATGGAGAATTTCAGATGGAAAATTCCAGAAATCCACTCTTCAGCTCTGTCCTAAACTGAAGATTAGTGTGAGTCTGTCTCCTTTTCCAACATTTGCACAGGCAGCAAGGCAAAGCAGGTGTGCTTCCAGCAGGTGGAAGGCAAGGAGAGGGCTGGGGGGCAGCAAGTGGAGCATTCTACAGACCACCACTGCCACCCAGGGCCTCCTCAGAACCTTCAAGGTGATGGAGTGAAACCAAGGCTGCACATGCATGCGGGCAGCTGGGAGGCAGAGGTGGATGGAGGAAAACCAAAGGGATGTTTCAGGAGACAGCAACCTGGAAGCAGGGCCAAGAGAAGATAAGCTGGTAGCAGTTACAGAGCGCAAAGTAAAAGCCATGGACTAGACTTGGGAGGAAAGAAAGTGTTGGAGGAAATGAAAGAACAAAGCAGGCTGTCTGTGTGCCCACACCAGGTTGGTTACTACCTCCTCTGCATGACAAAAAGACATAAAACAACTCCAGAACAGCACGGAGCATTAGACACAACTAGAGGTACAAAGGGCAGGAGCCCGGGGTGTGGCGGTGAGGCTGGGGGCTGGGTCAGCTGGCTTTGTACAAGGTGGCACAAAAGATGCACGTATTCCAGTTCTTGGAAATCTGCGTCCCTTGGAGTCTGGAGTGCTGGGTTTGGGAGTTTTCTATTGTAGTCTTTCAAGTTCATGTTGAGTCCCTGGCTGGAGAGGCTGGCTCGGGCCATCCCCCGCAGCTGCTCCCACCTTAGGCTACACGTCGGTAGAGAAGTACAGTGTGTTCCGCTTCAGTTCTGCGAAGGAAATTGGGGGGTGTTGCAGGTAGTAGAGCAGGACCTGGACCTGGGGAGAAAGGAAAGAGTGATGCTGGGTCCTTGTCCTTGAGGCCTTCTGGTCTATTGAGAAGAAATGGCCCCTGGGCTGGGGTCACTGCTCTGTTGCTCAGCACCCTTGGAAGCCCAGGTGTGCCTGCCCATTTGCAGCAGTAGAGGGCGCTGCCAGCAGAGGGTGGGGAGCCTGGGGCCACTTCCCCAACCTCTGCCCTAATCTTCCATCCTGATCCAGAGGTTGGCTTTGGTTTGGCAGCCCTGCCTCATAGGGGCCCCTGCCCTGGGTTTTTTAGGGGAAGAATCCCGACCCTAAAGCAATCAGTAGCTTCCACACATAAGGAAAAGGCCCCCCAATTTTTCCTATACCCCTGGGCTTGTTTTGAAATTGAGACACTCCTGGGATTGCAGACAGCACCTGGGACAGACTTTCTCTGGGCCCCTGTTCTAGGTTCATGCTTTTTGTTTTGGTCTGGGCGGCAGATCCAGATCCTGACATCCCACAGATTGTCAGCCTAGTTGCTCAGAAGGGAAGGGGTGAGGGATTCTGAGCTATTCTCTCTCCACCCCTAAGGGGAGCTTATCTCGCTCCTCCAGCCACAGGCCTGCAAATGCTGGTGGTACCTGTGCCATAACGTCATGGGACCAGATGTCTGCCGCCGATGTGAGGTGTGCTTTGCTCTCCACTTCTGATGGTCTCAGTAACGTGGGGCCAAACACAGTAGCCAGGTTGTGAAGGGACATTTTGTTGATGGGTTCCTTCTCAGCAACCCTGGAGGGGAAGGAGAGGAGAGGGGAGATGTCATTTCCCTTGGCCTTGTCCATAAGAACTCCTGGAATGATGCTCAGAAGATGGTTACCAGCTTCCCTTTTTTTAAGGAAAACCTCCTGGAAGGGAGGTCCTAAGCCAAGGGACCAAGTCCCCAGGTCTGTCCCAGTACATTCCTATAAAACAGATTCCCAGCTTCCTGGCCGCCCCCTGAACTGATAATAAATTACAAGAGCCAGAAGGCCTCACTCCGACTCCCATGCTTTGGAGATAACAATAGTACAAATCCAGGAACTTCTCCTGTAACAGTTCATACACATGATGAAACCAACACACAGAGAAGGTAAGTGACTCATCCGAGATTACACCACCAAGTGGTGGAGCTGGGATCTGAGCCCAGACTACTCTTCACCACTCTGCTAAACCCAGGTCAAGCTGTGGGGAACATCAGTGGGTGGGGTGAGGGGAGCAAAGCTGCTAACTGGACCTGAGACCCTGCTGGCTGTGTGGTGGCAGAACAACCCTAAGCTCAGAAAGAGCCCAGGGACTATACTCCCATCCCTTTCTAGAAAGCTCTGTCTCATGGGACCCCAGAGTTGTCTTCCGCTGGATCTTCTCCTGCTTCTCTTGCATAATAGGCCAGATGCCCTATAGATATTTTCCTTGAGTGACAGGAGGGGCTGCCATCTGTGGCTGGTGTCTAGGCAGGCCCAGTACCACCTAACACAAAAGAGAGGCCTGGGCCCTCCCTATTTCTAGGAAATGCTGCTGAGGCTGAGCCCCACCTTTCCCAAGCAGCACCTCTTTACCCACTCCCTACTATATCGTCATACCCACCCTCCAGGCAGGAGTCATGGATGTGCCTGCTGACTGCTTTGGAAACAGGCAAACATTCCCATGCCAGGAGGCAGCTGTGTGCTGGCCCAACCCCTCAACACACACACACACACACACACACACGCACGCACGCACGCACGCACGCACGCACGCACGTATGGCACAAAGGGCTCTCCGGCTGGGGGCCCAGATGTGGGAACAGGCTGTGCCCAGTTCCCAGGCTGGAAAACCTAATGAATTTTCCCTTCCCACTCCTCTGTGTCCTCCCCACAGGGCTTGCCAAACTATTTGGGAATTGGTTGGAGCTCTGGTCCTAGCCAAACCAGAGGGAAAATGTCTTATAATGGGAAAAACAAGACAGCCCAGGCGTTTCCAGGTCTCTGCTGGCCCTCCCAAGCTGGGCCTGGCTAAGCAGCAGCTGGGAGGGTAGGACTTAGGGCAGGAGCCAAACTCAAAGGAACTACCCACAACACTGCCTCCTCTCCTGGTCCAGAATGGCACCTTCAGGGCTAGTTTCAGCTGGGATTTGCTGCAGGTGCCAGCTTCAGCAGCCCTTGGTGTGAATGACCAGAGAAGGGGTGGGGAGAAGGTAGGAAGGGCCTAGTTTAGGATTTGGGAGATGTGGATTCTAAGGACAAGCTGCCCTAACCCAAGCAAGTCCTTGGTGAGCTGGGGGACTAGTTTCCGTATCTGCTAGCTGGGGTGTGTGTAAAAAAGACCTGTGGGTTTCAAATTTTTTGACTTTGAATAACTGTGGCCCAGCATGCATGGCCTATCTTGTACTATCTGAAGGGCACACTAACTGGGTGCAGTGCACCCGCTGCTGCCCATTCTAGTCCATTAAGAAGTGCTACATAGACCGAGTGACTGTGGATGTAAAATCCATCTGTGGTCCTAGTCCTTGGATCTAGCCCTGCCTTTCTAAGCATCCTATGGCCTACTTGATGTCGCTATTAGGACCCAGTATGTCTTAAAGCAGAAGAATCTGAGTGTAAGAATTTGAGAAGCAAACACCTCAACCTGGTATGGGGTTGCCCAGGAGAGGCCAGCACCCATGAGGAAGCAACAGGGATGGGGGTTAGGGGGTCTACAATAGGACATGTCTTCCCTGGCTGGAGCCCACCCCAGGCTCCTGCTCTCCCCAAGCTGGGCCCCGGCCCTTACCTTTTCAAGTGTTCCAGCAGGAAGAGGAAGGTGATGAGATTGGGGTCGGGCAGGGAGCGGAGCAGGTGCATCATGCAGTTTTCCTTGGCAGCAGGGTCTGACAGGGCTACAGGGAGAGAAGGGGCCAGGGTGGGGCTCAGCTCCCAGGAAGGGAGGCCCGAGCCAGCACCCTCTCCCTGTGGTCATGGGGCTGTGAGACACTGAGGGTGAGGCAGTCTGCCAGGAGTCAGAGGCAGAGCCTACAGGGAAGGAACAGCTGGTTCCTGCAGGAGGCCCCACGCGTGACTGGTAACTTGGTTAGGAAGCAGGTTGCGGACACATAGTTTTCTTCCCCTCACTGCACAGGTCTCCATGGGTGGTGCCATTTTTCATCCCTGGTCTGAAGCAGGGCAGTGAGCAACCTTCTGTGGGCTCCTCATTTCTCATGGAGGCCAAAACCCTGATCTGCCCAGAAGAAAAGGCAGGAGGGATATGCCCAAGGCTGGATTTGGCCCAGGTAGGTAGAGGCAGGAGCCCTGAACAGGCTCTCAGCTTCCTCCCCACCTATGGCACCAGTGAAGAGATGAGAATGTCCTTCTGGAAGGCTCTTAACCAGCCATCTCACATGTACTTCAGTTGTAATTGAGTTTCTCCTTGGCTCTGGGGTGCCAATCCCGACCACCCCCTTAGGGAAGGTTTCCTTGGACCCCTGAGTTTCCATGCAAGGAGGGGAGTGTCCCAGAAGCACCCCAAAGGAAGTACAGAGGGAAGTCTGTAGGGACACGTGGGCATGTGGGGGGCCACTCAGCCATGTGACCCTGGGGTACTGGACAGATCAACAAGCAAGGGAAGTCACAGCTCTCTTCTGCTCTTTACTTTGCTGGTCGGAAGGCCTGGCTCAGTCCATCCCTCATCCCCAGAGCCTCACCAATGCCTTCCATGAAGGCTGGGTAGAGTCGGTCTGTGAGGAGGGGCTCAGGCAGCTCACGGAAGTAGAGCTTGAGGGTGCCAGCGATGGCATTGATGTCCATGTCGCTCAGCATCAGCAGGATGTCCTTGTTATCTATGGAGGAGGTGTGAGGTCAGGGTCACACCAGCCTGAACATACCTCTCTCATGCCTCAGCTGGGCAGGCAGCCCTGTTCCAGCCCCAGTCCATCCCGAGACAGCTGCAATGATGTCCCCACCCACTCTCTTTCTGGTTCCGGGCTCCCCCAGAAAATCAGGATGCAGGTGATGCCCACAGGTGGTCTGTAACTCAGCTGGTTGGGGGCTGAGGAAAGCTCATCACCCAGAGTTCTGAAGCCCCATTCACACCACTTGTCACACACCCTCCTTCCAACTGGTATCTCCCCACTTGCTAAGCCCCTTTCTGGAAGGCACTGCACATTTTTGTACACCTAAAATCATGTTCTGACAAAGCCTCAGCTTCCAGGTGGCAGAGAGAGGCCGTGTGCCAGCATGTTCCCAGCAAGCCTGTCTTCTGCTCCAGGCTCCCCAACCATGTCTGTTTGGCAGCCATCCAGAGGCACCCACCAGGCCCCCTCTCAGCTCCTATGGGATCAGTGTGGCCCTGCCAGTTTCAGTTCCTGAGTGTTGGTGTGCTGCTGCCACGCTATAGCCTGGACCAGAAAGAAGGCAGAACAAAGAACTAGAAAAGTCGCACTACCAACAGTGGACAAAGCTGGAAGCAGCAATGCCCTGCCAAAGGGCTCTGCAGATGGCAGAAGGGAGCCAGAGTCAGCAAGCTCAGGTACAAAGCCATTAGTTTTCTTGCATCTGTTGTGCCCCATTGGGGTGCAAGAAAGCAAGCCAGCATGGACTCTGGAGTCAAAGGAGTTTAAATGGGGCTCAAAACCTTGCCCAGGTAATCCTGGGCAAGTGACTTGCCTCTCTGAGCTTCAGTTCCCTTATTCGCAGCAACAAATAAGAAACTAGGGGGGTTAAGGACCACAGGAGAAAATGTGGAAAAAGCTCTCGCCACGGGCGCACAGAAATGGTCCACCCCATGGACATAGATTGGAGGACTGGAGGCCACAGAACAAGGATCCTCTGCATCCAAGGCCCATGGAGAAGGCCACCCAGTGCTCCTACCAGCCCTGTGAGCCTTCCGGAGCCCCCCTCCAGCCGCCACCAAGCTGGGCCTTCCAGACTCACTGGCATCAAAGACAGCCTTCAGTGCCTGGATGTCCGTGGCCACCCCCGATATCCTGTAGATGCCGACCTCCTCAATGCCCCTCTTCTCCACCTCTTCCACACACTGTCGCACAATGTAGGGCACCTTGGAGCGTTCCCGCCTGGGGGGAGAGGAAGGAAGCGGGGAAAGGTGAAGGGAGACCTTCAAAATATAGCTACCTAGCTTCCTCCCCAAATACCTTTGTCTTGGAGAGTTCCAACCTCTGGGATCAGGAGGGAGACAAGGAAAGGACTGACAAAAAGGTCATGTCACCCCCTTGGCCTTTTGCCCAAGGCCTATTTGCTAACGGACATTAAGGGACAAAGGTGGGAGGAAATTTGGGGAGATAAGCCCAAAGATTCTGGAGAAGAATGCCCCTACAACAGAGGTCCTGCTGCACCTCCCCCTGCAGTGACCCTCAGGGCTAATGGCTGTTGCCATGGTCCCTGAGGTCCGGCGTGGGCAAGGAACCATGCGCGCAGGGGGAGAACAGCAAACTCCCTAAGATGCAGAGAAGCCGAATGCCTGCCAAGAGATAACGACCACCAGAAGCCGCCACAAAGATGATTAAAAGAAATGCTGACCACCTGGAACCTTATCTCGCTTTCTCAAGGCCCATAAACTTTATTCTGCTACAACTGTCTCTCTAAAATCTTTCCTTTTTCTGGTCATTGATTGCTAATTAAAAAACATACGTAATTTAATAATTAGGCTAATGCAAATGAAACATTACTAAACACTGTGTTATAATAGAATTGTTGGTTTAATAATCTTTCTGTTATGTGCTTGACTTTAGTACCTTTGATATTAACTGCATTATAATATAAATTTACCTATGACAATTAATTATGAGTAAACATAAGTAAGTAATAGTAGTAGTAGTTAGTACAAAAATATAGAAAGAGTTAATAACCTGTCCAATTAGGAATAAGGCTAGGTCCAGGTGTAACTTCGGACATAAATCACTGCCCTGTCAATTAAGCTAAGCCTATGAGCAAGCTGATTTCTTTGATGTTCACCGATCCTATGCCTTTAGAAAAAACATATATATACTGACCACTAACAAAAATGAAAGTGCACTCAGATTTACACTTTCTTGAAGTGTGTCTGTTTGTCATTTCTTTAACCGAATCCCTGACCACCCTGGGCAGTCTCTCAACCCTGAGACGGCCTCATCGTCTACTGCTGTGCTGGTCCGTGGCAAGGTCCCAGATTCAAATATCTATGGGGGACCCAACAAGAGAACCTGCTGAGGGGAGTGCAGAGGGTGGTGGTGAGCTAAGGGGAACTTCCTGAGGAGCGGCTGTTCCTGGGGGTCCAGGGCTGACAGCGGTCACAAATTTCTATTTATATTCATTAAGAGGAGTGGACAAGCTGGGGTTTTCATGTCTAATTGCCCAGTGTTTAAAAGCTGGTCCATTTATTTCTAATGCATTGCATGAGTCAGAGAACATACCTCGGTGGGCTGTTCCAAACTGGCCTGCACGACTACTGAACTGGAGGTGATGATTAGGGGCCAGGCACAGGCAGGGAGGGGGAGGGAGGACTGGAAGGCGGAGGCTGCAGGGACCTGGCATGCAGCCTACACTAGGATACCTACTTCGTCACTACACTGATCTTCACACCAAAGACGCCAGTCTGCTTTTTGGATGGGGTCCTCTTCAGGCTCATATCTCGGCTGGTGAATTTCATGGAGAATTCCACTTTGATCTGGTTGGGATGAGACAGGCATAAATTCCCTGGGTGTAAGAGCCTGAGGAGTGCCCCCAAAACACAGGGCCCATTCCTCAGGATTGCAAACAAGGGCTCCCTCTAGCCCCAGGGCTCCCTGGAACACCCTAGGGTGGGACTTCTAGAAGGTCCAACCTTCATGGTGGGAAGAGGAGGGGACTGGGCTAAGGGGCCAGGGGAAGGACAGCACCCTGAGGAAACCAGCCAGACACTCCCATCACTCTGGGCTCACCCCATTCATCTCAATCACATCTGTGTGCCAGTTCTTGGTTTCTACAGTTTGTGGATCCAACTGCAAAGAAAAAAAGAGAACACGAGTGAGAGACGACAGCTTAGAGACCAAGCCAGAGCTCCGCTAGCAGCAACTGCTCACAATCTGCTAAGTGGTCAGGAAGGCCAAAGCGGGCCTGATGCTTATCTGGAAATTAACCCTAGAGGGTGGCTCCAGCCCCTTTCTTCCCACCCAGCTAGCAGGGTACACTGCGAGGCACTTCTGTGCTCATTTCAGACCACTCCCTGTAAAGAGGGTATTACTGCCCCATTTCACAGATACAGAAATTGAGGTTCACAAACAATAAACAATGAACTAGAGTGGGGATGTAATGGGTTGGGGGGCACAGGTAGCCTGAATGGGAGGCAGGACAATGCAGAAGTGCCCTGTCTTAGGAGTCAGGTCCTGGGGTTGAATTCTGGCTCTGCCACATCCAGTGGTATGACCTTGAGAAGTTTGAAGGTCAAGCCTCATTTGTTTCATCTGTTCACTGCAGTCAGTGGCAGAACCTGCCTTGATGGATTGTTGTGATGACAATGAGATAAGATGGGGTGAGTGGCTAGCCTCCATGTAAGCAATCCTCTATATAGGGACCCCCAAGCTTGGGCTGGAGTTCCAGGGAAAGTGGATGGCAGGGGAGACTCAGAGGCCCCCCTCACATGGGCTGGGAGCAGACAGGCCTCGGTTTCCTTAACTGGTGGTCTTCAAACTGGTTTTCCTTGTGTATCCACAAAATAATTTTGAGAAACTCTGTACTCCCTGGCACATTTTTAAGTCAACATCTGAATATTTCCAAGGCCAAGTGTAAATACTTGCAAGGAATATAATTTCCAGAATAATGTAAATATTTACATCTTAAAATAAAACTGTGACATCATTCTTTTCAATGCATTCGGTGAAGTCCAAATACCATAGTGATTTGATACCCACCATCATCATCCATTTAAAAACACAAACAGGCTCATCTTTCCCTGTGGAAACCCTGCATTGTTTTCCTTTTACTCCTTGAACCTATGTTTTTATTCTATTTCTCCCAAAGAATTTTGTCCTTGTTTGTATTTTCCTACTGTATTTCATTCAGCACCCCACTTCAACAAAAATATCTGTATGAGCTAAAACGAAAAATTAATTCCCCAAGACCCCAGTTTTCAAATATTCAAAGCATATTCTGGGTTAGTTATTAATACGACTAGCAGTGCACAATCAAAAAACTAACCAACACATTACAGTATTTAATAGATACTCAGCAGCAAAGTACCACTCTGGTGCAACTGCATCTCTTAACAAGACAGGTAGGACATTTTTTTCCATTTTAGTTCAAGTATGCATATGAGTAGTAGTATTATTTTTAAAAAGATGCATTTATTTATTTATTTATGCATACAAGAGCTGGGGTACAGGCCAGAGATGCAGGGGGTAAGAGAATTCACCAGAGACAGAGTGGGGAACAGAACAGGCAGACTGACTGAAATAAACTGCTGAGGGGAGCAGCGGGCAAGACAGGAGAGGTCTGCTGGGCCATGTGAGTCACCTCCCTGGCCGGGGATCAAACTCAGGCCATCGTGGAGATAGTGCTGAGACCTGAATATTATTTTTTGCTAGGGTGAAGCAAGGTTCAGCATCCTTTTGTTGTTTTGCTTTTAAAGTTGGAAAGGATGAAACAGCTTTTTCATGTGAATAAGTAAACGGAGATGAAAATAGTTTTATTATGGCAATGTTATATAATTGTTTAACCTCTTTCCTCCTAATTGCCTTAAACTGCATATATAACTATTGTAAATATTTGTTTTAAGTGCTCTCTCAGCTGACAATTTCCACCAGTTTTGTGAAAAACAAAGAAACTTCACCTGACTTGTAAAAGGATTTGTAACACCCACACCAACAACACATCACAGGGCCTCTCTGCCAATCACCCAGGAGGTCTCTGTACCCCAGGCCAGGCCCCCCAGTGAGCTTCAGGCCTTTTCTCTGCAGGGGAGAGGTGATGTGAAAGCCCTTTTTAGAAGATTGCTTTTTGGCGATAGCATCTATGGTAGTTGAGGATCTGCAAATTGATTCCCTTAAAACTCTCCTGCCCACTTACCCCTCAGAAAGGCTCTGCACCTCTGGGGGCAGGTGTATCACAGTTTGAACACCGCTGCTGACAGAGGACCCTCACAGAGGGAAACGATCTGCGTCAGCCCCGGGCAGGCTTCCCTCAGCTCAAGGTTAAGTCACCCCCATACCTTCTGTCACCACATACCAGCTGGGGACAGGGGACACCTACATCTCTGAGGGGGCTTGGGTCCTGACTACTAGGCCAGTTCTGGCCCAGGTTCAGTCTTCAGCAGTCAGTTCCTGCCCAAAGGTGTGATGGAATTGAGAATACGAGAGAGAGTGGCATAGAGAGAACCAAGTACCCCTATACCCAGCCAGTGTTTCTTCAAACATACAACGGAAGGGTGAACAGCTCTCTAGCCTGGCTGCTGCTCTATTCTAGAAGGCATGGGGCCAAAGGTCTCAAAAGAAGCCCCTGAAACTCCTCTCCCCTCTAAGTTCCTTTTTATTTTATTTTTCAAGATTTACTTGTTGGTACATAACAAGAATTGGGGTACAGGCCAGAGGTGCAGGGGATGAGAGGATTCACCAGAGACAGAGTGGGGAACAGAACAGGCAGATTGACTGAAATACACTGCTGAGGAGAGCAGCGGGTGAGACAGGAGAGGTCTGCTGCGCCATGTGGGTAGCTCCCTGGCAGGCCGGGGATTGAACTTGACCTGCAGAGGCTGCGGATAGCTTCATAGTGCTGTGTTTAACCCTTGTGCCACCAGGGAGGTGCTAAGTTCCTTTTTATACCAAACCCTCCCTGTGCCTGGTGTACAAGCCTGGATGGCATCCAGAATGCTGGGCCTTGGACTTAGGGTCTAGATCTGTCCCCAGTCCTGTCCTCCAGCAGTGGCCACCTAGAATAGGGAGCTCTCAGCTGGTCTTTGTTAACTGAGGCAGATGCTACCCTACCCTTGAGGCACACATTCTGTAGGGAACACCCTTTTTTTTCATGCAGATCTCTCCAAGAAGCAGCTTAAGTCTCATATCAGTGCCATGGTCCTGCTCAGGTCTTGGAGTGGCGTCAGAACACAGTCTGAGTTGGGAAAGTGCCAGAACTGAGAGACTGATCTGGGTTCAAATGTTGGCTCTTTCACTCAGTTGTGAAAGAGTGGCATAAAGGGCTTCCCCGGTGGCGCAGCGGTTGAGCGCTGGGTTTCGAAGCTGCCCGAGGCCTCTGCGGCGCCGGTTTGATCCCCGGCTACTCCCCGGCCACCGGAGGAGGGTCCCACATGGCGCGCAGACCTCTCCTGCCACCCGCTGCTCCCCTCAGCAGTGTACTTCGGTCCTTCTGCCTGCTCTGCTCCCCGCTCTGGTGAATTCTCTCACCCTCCCGCGCTTCTGACTGTACCCAGTGCTTGTATAAATAAACAAATATTAAAAAAAAAAGAGTGGCATAGAGAGGATCACTCAGTTGTGATCCTCAATTTCCTCCTGGGGGTGTCCACACCTATTTGGAGGGTTATTATGGAAAACAGTAATAGCAACTGATGTATTCTGAGCACAATGACAAATCCTTTACATACAGCATTTCAACTAATTATCATAACCAGCTGCTATAAAGGTTTAAGCCTTCCTAGCTGTTCCCACTTCACAGACGAGGGCACTGAGACTTAAAGAGAATGAGGAGTTCTCCCAGTGCCACACCTCTGGGAGTGAGAGCTTGCAGACAGTCAAGGCTCCCTGACTCACCTGCTCTGCTAAACCTGCAAGGATTGTATGAAGGGCCTCGTCTGGAGTCTGCACCTAGGCCACAAACAGCAGCTGCTGTGACCACACTACTCAGAAAGGCAGCTCAACTCCTCCTCTCTTCTTCCCTCCCCATCGCTTCTGTTCTAGCTGCCAAATAGCAATTAGCAACCGTACATTTTCCTGGAAGCATCTGTGACAGGGAAAGCAACTATTGCTAATGCACAGTTCTAGCTCTGTCTCTTCCAGAAAGTCTTCCTGGGTAGCTTCAGGCCTCAGGAATCTTCAGTTTCCTCTGTCTTCTTGTTGCATAAAGACCCTGTCCCTCTGGGACCATTTGCTGCCATTTCACACGTACTGGCTGTCCATGCCAGGGCTGGTTAAAGTGGCACTATCATGCTTTACTTTGAGTCCTACCACTGCCATATTTCAGATTCCCTCTGCAGGTGCGGCCCTGGCACCCAGTTGGGGAAGCCTGCCCAGTGCCTCAATGCCCCGACAATGAAGCTCTGTCTCCTAGGAGGCCAGCAGCCTCCAGAAACCAAATCTATTTCAGGACATCATTTAAATACAGAGAAGGGAGGGTGCAGAGCGAAGAGGGACATGGCACATTTTCTAGAGAAATGATACTGCCTAAATCTCTGTGGCTATTTATAACCCCTGGGAAATGTGGACTCTGCTATTTCCTGATTAAATTAGTACTGGGGTGGAGGAGCTGGCCCGGGACAGCAGTGGATGGGAACACCTGACCACTCGCCCTCCTAAACCTCCAGAAGATAGGTGCTGTCCACCCACCCTGGGGAGTAGGCAGCTGGGGGGCCATCAGATCACCTGAGGGAGACAGATGAGGCTGCAAAGGGCCAGGCTGAGGGAGACCCCAGAGTGCTCCTCCCTTTACCCCATGGGTGATACACACACACTGGGGTTCCCTCAGGTGGCAGAGAGGAAAGGACCATAGAGCATCCTGGGCAAAGCTCTAAAGTGTGGCCACACCGGGCACTGAAATGGCTCAGCACTTAAGCTGAGATTGAGAAGCTTGAGAAGCTTTTTATCTGTTGAATTTAACTTGTCAGATCATGGCTGGGTTTAGATCTCTGCCAAGGGGGATGGGCTGACCTTTGGGACTGGTGTCCAGGAGAGAATTACCAGACCCCCTGCAATAAAATCCTGTTTCTCTGCTGTGAACACAGCATTCTCACATAAGCAGACCAGTCAGAACCTGCAGGTGTTGTCCAAGGGACAAGGGA